TATCTTTCGGGCAGGGCCTTGGGAGGATACTTTGTTTACAGAACAGTGTTGTTTGGAGTCAAAACAGGGCCGTTGGTCTGGGGCAGGGTCGCGGCATTGATTGCACGATCCACACAAGCATTGTTCCACCCGAGCCGTTGTCGTTTACAGATTTTTGTTGATGATCCGTTGATTGTTGCAAGAGGCACAGAGGCAGAATTGAACAGTATCTTCAACATTGTTTTGTTGTGGTGGCTTGCATTGGGCTTGAAGGTGGCCTGGACCAAGGGTGCTCTTGGAACAGAAGCCGAGTGGATAGGGGCTAAGCTGGTGATCAATGATAGCGAAGGGTTTGTCAAGGTCATGGTGACAGCCGTAAAGCTTGAGGAGTGGAGAGGACTGCTTGAGCGACTCGACACGAAGCCTTTAGTGGGACACAAACCACTACAGCAGTTCACAGGCAAGATGTCGTGGGCGGCTGGCTTCATCCCCCAGCTTAAGCCCTTCGTCAGAATGCTGTACGCGGCGCTGGCTTCAATCCGGGAAAATTGCAAGGTCAGAGGCAAGTGTACCACAGGCAAATCGAACCTGCCCTTCGATGGATCAAGCGCTTCCTATGGAGCTGGGGGCCAGAAGGCTCCAAGTTTACGCTCACAGCAGGCACCAATGCAGGCTGGACTTCTTGGTGGAGGCGGGGCAGTGAAGTTGAGAGCAGGCCAACCTGTTGAGGTTTTCGCGATTAGCTGGACTGCAGCTGAGCAAAGAAGCCGGGCGCGGTCATAGGTGAACCCGGGTCCCAAGCTTTGTGGGAGGCTTACATGATGTTGAGATGCTTGTGGACGTGGGTCAGAGCCAATGAACAGGGCTTCATCAGGATCCGCGGTGATGCACAGGGAATCCTGGCAGCGCTGGTGAAGAGGGCGGCTAAGTCGCCTTTGTTGAATGAGGAGAGCAGTCAGAACGAATGGGCTGATGCCCTCTCCCGGGGCCAGATGCCCAGAGAGCTTTCTCACCTGCCGAGGGTGGAGCATGCACCTGAGCTGTGGCATGAGAAGTGGGAAAAGCAGTGAGGGAGGGGAAGTGGCCAAGCGAGTTTGGGAGACCGGGGAGGGAGGGTGAAACCAGCCGAGTTTTCGTTGCTCGTATCATGAGATCAGCATGTGAGATTGTCGCCCGTGTGCGAGGCTGCTACGTTGCCGAGTCGGGCACGGCAAGTGCGCCAGGGAGATACCTGGGAGAGTGAGGGATTGCAGGGAGCGCATGGCATGATCATGTGCTTTGTGGGACACACAAGCAAGAGACTGTCTGCTGTGTTGTCGAGTCGTTTTGTGCTGGGTTCACTTTGACTCTTTGATTTGGTGATTGTTCGCTTTTTCCGCTAGCTATTTCATGCATGAGGAGGCTTGCATCTGACCTCCCCAGGGAGGCCGCGGAGGCCAAGTGGCCGGGACTGCAGATGCAGTCAACGAGCTCAGGAGAGCTCACCAAGTCCGAACGGAGCCATGTCATGAGCGGAAGTCGTCTTGTGAACCATGTCACATGCATTACATGCAACACACAGGTAGAGGTCAGCTCTGCTATGAGTTGTCAGCTGTGTGACGCTGGTCCGTACCATCCCGGATGCCATACGAGAACCCTCCCGCCCGTGTAGAGGGGAGATGACCTGGAACAGGCCCTTGGTGAAGCAATCTATGACTGCCAGTTTGGTAACACTGTCCCAGGTGACACGGGGCAAATGTCGGATGCCTTGTGGCAGGTGGTCCACCAGGAGGTTGAGGAGGAGTCGGAAGGCCCAGAGGAGGATAGCAACAAAGAGGAACCTCCTGCAAAGCTACCGAAGCTCTACAGTGATGACAATGTTCAGGCCCTCATGAGGAGGGGCCTCCCTCTGTTCGTGCTCAAGGAATCGGTGGACCAGAAGAAGGGGAAAGAAGCCACGCAGGCTGCTGAAACCTTTGGCTTTGAGGACAAGCCCAAACACATCAGCATAAGCAGCCCCAGGCACCCCGTTCATGAAGACAGAGCCCACAGTGAAACCGTATGCAACGGGCAGCAAGGCAAGAGCTCAGGAGGTGGCTGAAGACCCAGAAGAATTCCAGAAGGCGATGGAGGAGTTCCAGAACGACAAGTTCGCAGCTTCGAATCAGGCCACTCACAAGGCCAGGGTCCAGTGGTGGGTGCATCGAGCCAAGAGCCTGGACGCGGAACCCTTTCCTTTGAGGGTGCAAACTATAGATATGGCCGGTGCTTTGTTGAAGGTAGGGCAATACAGGTCGGCAGCCATGTACTTTGCGGCCTTGAAGAGGGAGCACGTGATACAGAGCCACCCCTGGGCAGATGATCTCACGCTGGCCATCAAAGATGCGATCAGGTCATGTATTCGAGGCATTGGGCCAGACAAACAGTGCCCAGCGTCGGACTTGAGGCAGTTGGAAGGATTGAAGGAGGTGGAACCAGTGGACGATGGTCCAAGGAAGACGGTCGACATGGTGATTCTCTTCGCGCTCTTCGCTTGCAGAGAGATGGAAGCAGCCTTGAGGAAGGTGAAACATGTTCAAGTGGAAGAGTCGGGCCCAGGATGCAGGGTGGTGTCCCTGTATTTGCCGGCCACGAAGACCGACTCCAAAAAAGAAGGAGCTCTTCGGAAGCAAGGGTGCCTGTGCGAAACCCTGCCAAGTCTATGCCCAGTGGCTGCTGCAAGGAGGTTGCTACAAGCCGCCCTGGAGAACGGCCATCAAGACTTCAAGACGAAGATCCTCTCTTGGTCACCGATAAGCCTAAGAAGCCACCTACAAAACAGGGAATGGTGAAAGCATTCCGTCGTGTGGCCGTCATGATGGGACTCACCGAAGAGGAGGCGCAGAATGTCACGGGGGATCACAATTCATGGCCCGAAAGGGCATCGAGTTCTACAAGATCCAGCTCTTCTGCCGATGGGGGAGCGAGGCCATTCTGAGGTACTTACGTGAAGTCCCCTTGGAGAACTCCGACCAGCGGCTGGCCTCAACCATGTCAGTGGGAGAGATCATGACGCATTCAGCCAAGGCCCTTCAGATGCCAGCCGATCACCCCAAGTCGAGAAAGATGGTGAGGGCAATAGAAAACGCACTGGAAACACAAAGTACCCAGATCCTGCTCAGCACCAAACAGACCCAGAATGAGATTGAACAGATCTTGGAAGATCTGAGAAAGAAGTCAGTGCTGATGAACGAAAAGTGGACGGAGGAACTGTCCAGGAAGTTCCTCCCCAAATTTGTGACCAACGACAACAGCAAGACCTTTCATGCTGTAGAGGATGCCTTTTCTACCGGCTGTGGATTTGAGTACAGGAATTCCAAAGATTTTAAATTCGCCCATGAACCACCGGACCCGGACGCCACCAGCTTTCACATGTGTGAGAAAGCCGGCTGCGTGAAGCTGTTCGAGGCGGTAACCAAAGCACTCTAGAACTGGAGAGAAGAAAGCCAGTGCTCGTTTGGTTGAATTGGGGGGGTGAGGGGAGTGAGGTGCACCCTACACAATCCGAGAGTCATCGGCTGATGGTGCGAGGTACGAGCAAGATCCC